AGCCAACACATGATCAAATGATAACCTGCAGTTTTCTTCCATAATTCCTTGGTATAATAAGAGGAAACTGGAATAATTAATCATGTGATAATTTGATGTTAGCAAGGCAGATTCATGGCTAATGAAAGCAGTTATTTAAATGATCAAATGATATAGCTTCAATTATCATATTAATAATTCATTCCCCTAGTTAATATACCCATTTGCCTTTGATGGAATATAGTTCAGGCAGAGGTATATCATCTTTTCTCGGGTGTTCTGTATGATCTAGTCATGCAAACAAGGGCATGTACAGCTACTAAAGAGAGAGGAACTATGAAATTCTCTCTGGGGAAATGGGTGGGACGATAACACAAAAAGGAAGAAGCTGGGTAAAACTGCAGCAATTCAGTGGCTTTCCTTGGTATAAGTCTTCACTCACAATCACATCCCTAACAAAGAGAAATGACAAGGGGTACTCCTGCTAACTCGGTAGACAACTTAGTTCTGTAAAAGTTTTGAAATTTTGGCAGTGGGGGGAAATGACTTTTAAAAATTGTTGATTTCTGGTAACTGCCCGGACAAATTCCTGCAGTGTTCGGAAGTGTTTGCTATTGACTTCTTCCTAGACCTAAGAGAGAATGACTTATCCAAAGTCACCCAACTGGCCTCATGCTGAAGGTGGGACTAGAACTCACAATCTCCCAATTTCTAGTCTGATGCCTTAGTCATTATAGCAAACTGGCTTTCTAAAGTTTTGAATTACAACCTTTACAGTTTATTGCAATCTACCATGTTGGATGGGTCTGATAGGAGGTGAAATTCCAAAATTTAAAAAATATCTATATCTATTGTGTGTGTGTGTGTGTGTGTGTGTGTGTAGGTCTTTGGTTATTCGGGTTTTCTCCTGCGTAAAATTGGAAGTGTCTTGGCGACGTTTCAACGAAGTCACATTTGTCATCTTCAGGCTGGTGTCTTCAGCCTGAAGATGACGAATGTGACTTCATCGAAACGTCGCCAAGACACTTCCAATTTTATGCGGGAGAAAACCCGAATAACCGAAGACCTACATACAAACACCCGCAAAAACCTCAGAAAACAAATATATATATATATATATACACCATTTTTGCATACAAGGCCATAGTTAGTCTTCAGTGGTCTCCTAAAGACCATGGTCCTTCCCTCCACAGCTGGTTAAGAAACGAGGTATGAAAGGGAAATGTGGACTCTGTTTTCTATGGCACATAAAAGGTCAGATACTATATAGCATATGGCTTTTTTCCCTCTATCTCTCTTACTAAATTTTATCGGAAGCAGCTTCTATGGACAAATAAGATATTATGTTTGGTTAATTGACAATAATTACCATGCTAAAGGAAAAGGTTGTGGATATTATTCAGCCTCTTATGGGCATTTTACATAAAAAGAATAAAAGGAACTTGTGACTTATGGTTTTGATTAATAGACAGATTATAGAAAGAGGAATCATATGATGTAACTTTAGACAGTTCAAAATATATTTGCATTATGACTGCATCACTTTGTAACTGCTGTGAAGAATATTGAAAGACACTTTTTTTATACTGTACTTTCTTTTCTATTAATTTTTTTTCTTTGCTTGCCCTTTTCTTTTTTCTTTAATTTCTTTCTTTTGCTTTCTTTATATTAGTTTGTATTAGCTTTTATCTTGTTTAAAAAAATTTATTAAAAATTATGTACATATAAAAATTTGAAAGGTTGTGAATATTATTCTAAATCCTACATATTGTACACAAGAAAAGGCTAGAATGTATGAGACACAATAGCTAAGAAAAAAGACAACTTAGGATATGATTGAAGTCTATAAATTCATATGTGGCCTGCGGATGGTGGGCAGAGAGAATTTGTTTTTTCCATTCTGTCCAAATACCAGAGGCATCCTATAAAAACTTAAGCAGTGCCTGCTGGATGAAATGCTTAGCCCATCTAGTCCAGCAGTCTGTTCTCACAACTGTCAAAAGAAGCCCACTACTCTCCCAGAAGGCAGCCTTCCAAGGCAGTCATGATCCCCTTGACTGCCATGGATTAGTCCAACCCTTTCTATGGAGCCACCCAAGCCTTTAGCCAGCACTACATCTTGTGGCAATGAAAATGACTGATGCAAAAGATTGAATTCATTGCCCAGGAAGTGGTTGTCTCAGCCATCCTATCACCCACATTGAGCCATTCAGGGTATGAGTATCATTCAAGAGAAGTATCAATTGGAAGAACAATATTTGGCTTCAGAGAAGGAATTTGATGAAACATTACATAGGAAATTTGGGAGAAGAACCTAACCCGCTCTTAAATAAGTCTGATTTAAATAGCCCAGCTCTCTATAGTTTTGTAACAGCAACTAAATAAGCATCCACAAATATCATCTGCTCTTATTCTGAATCTGTGATTCAATAGTACCCTCAGCACACCTGACACCATTTTTAGATCTGCCTTCCCCATCACCAAGAACCAGTTTGGTGTAGTGGTTATAGTAGGGGTGTCAAACTCACGACGTCACATGACGTGTCTTGACGTATCATGACTTTTTTTCCATTGCTGGCAATGGGGTGGGCGCAGTTTCGGCATGATGCATCCGGACCGTGGGCCGGCAGTTTGACACCCCTGGGTTAAAGACAGCAGATTAGAAACCAGGAGACTGTGAGTTCTAGTTTGGCCTTAGGCACAAAGCCAGCTGGGTTGACCAGCTGGGTCTTTCAGCCCTAGGAAGAAGAAACTGGCAAGCCATTTCTGAAAAATGCTGCCAAATAAACTATACGAGGCAGTCACCATGACTCAAAACTGACTTGAAGATGCAGTTACTTTCCTCTGTTGCTGCCATGCTACTCACCTCTAAAAAGATGATCAACATCCAATGCTGTACCTGCTTCCTTATTGTCTTCAGAAGCATTTCCCTTATTAGCTGCACCTGGACTGCCTGCCACACACCACACTCCCCGGCACACCACTGCTGTGATCTATTCTGCTTCAAGTAGCTACTGTATATTTTGGGTAACAGTTTACTTTATTTCATCAATTGCACCATTCCTCCTCTACTAACATGTCATCAGTCCAGACTGAAGTTTGGATATCCATAGCTCAGAAGAAGCTACCCTATGTATCACAAAGAGTCCAGTCTTCTCTTACTAGAATGAAATGTCATAACACTTTCATACCTCTCTTGAAGAATTCCCCACCTGAAAAAAGAAAATTAAGTAACAAGTCCAAGAAGACTCACAGCTTTCAGTAGGTGAACCAAGGTGCTATGAAAGACAACAGCAAAATATGAATTTAGCAGAGCCTAAAGGTTAATATAGATCATCAGACTGCCTGCCTGCTTGAAACAAAGGGTTTATACAAGTAGAGGCATACCTGAGGCTTACTAGCAGCTTTGGGACATGCTACAAGAGCCATGATATAAACATTGCTTTTAAATATTTCACACTGCAACAAATACATTTGGTTCCAATTCTCAGCCCTTACTTTAATTCAGTATCTTCAGCTCTTGGACCTCCCCATTTCACAGTTTTTCAGGCCATCTGTCCTGCTTCATCTATAATTTGATAAATTGAATTGCACATCTTTCTTTCAGTGAGTAGGACTTCATATGTTTATTTCTGTAGGTGTTTTATTGCTGCCTTCAGTCATAGATGTGGCATGTCAAGAGTTAAATGGTTAGCATTGTTGAAGGAAAAGTCTTCATCATGGTTCAGTCCAAGCCGGGAATAAACAACATGGCGACTGCTTTAGAAAGAAGGTTGCAGTTTACCGAAGAGGAGAGCCAGACAGAAAGATGGCTCTGGAAGAAAAGAAAGCGAGCACATGTAGGGAGTGGGTTTCATACCTTCTTGAGCCTTTTGTTTGGAGTTGTTCCTGTGGCATGAACTTTGACCTGAGTCTGAGTGTGCCTTTCTGGTATTCTGATGGTGGTGGGTTAATCCTATTATGTCCCAAAGGTCAATCCTGCTTCCCTGGGGCTGGGGCTGATGACTCTTAGATTTTTGGTGTGAGGAATTGTTGATTCTAGGGGTCTTTCTTCCTAATCCCAGCTTCCTGACTCCAATCTTTCTGACAAGATTATCACATCTGCATTTTTGCAGACTTGGTTTCTGTTTGGGACAGAGAGACTTGGGAGCGGGGTTGGTTTCTGCTGAAGCGATGTTATTTTGTGGGATTAATCCCACTTTTGTGTTACCCCTTTCCCCTGGTCTAACCTTTTTGTATGTTTCCCTTTGTCTTATCCTTTTTGACCCTATTCCTTTATTACCTTTATAAAACTCAATAAAATATTTATTTAAAAAAATTCTTTAGGGAAATATATTCTGCCTTTTAAATATTTCCAAAAATATTTCTTTCTCTGGGGGGGGGGCTGACTTCCCACAGCATCTATTGGCCAATATTATAGACATGAATATTATCATGACGTGTAGAGCTGTTCTGCATGCATATCATTATAAAGTATTCACTTTGCTTTATACATTGTGAGGTAAGGAACCAAGAATTCTGCATGTATGAGATTGATTCAAATGTGCAAAAGCATCCAAAACATTTCACAATGTTTTCTGTGAATATTCAAGTCTCTGGAAAAGCAAACAAAATATTCTTAAACATTACTCCTAAAAGGAAGATACCAAAGTCCTCTGTTTACAAAATTAACAATTCCTCAGCAAGGCATCTTCTCTTCAGCTGAAGTAGCTGGAAAGAGAAAAGGCCTTTTTTCTCAAGCCTCTCTCTCTCTACTTCACCTTCTCCATCTGCTGCTCTGGGTAGTGTATGTTGGGGAGAGGATTCAAAGGAACCTTTCTCCCTACTTCCAAAGTGTGGAGTCACAGATAAGAGGAAATGCTGAGCCATCTGGGTTCTGCAAAAAGAGTTCTGCTTTCAAACAGCAAGCATGCTCTTCCCCAGCAAACACTTAAAGCTGCCTGGTAAAGGAAGAGACTAGTGGGAGGGCTGAGAAATATTCTATCTCTTCCGCTTCCTCCCTAACCCACAACCTGCTGTTAATTCAGCTTCAGTTTTGATATATCTATAGAAGACTTTCCACCATCAACATTTGTTGAGCTGCTTCGTTGCTCAAGAGGCTTCCTGAACTCCACAGCACTGCTAGGCCGGAGACATGCAAGCCATCAAATGTGTGGTGGTAGGAGATGGGTATGTATCCTTCATTTGGGGAGCAAGGGAGGGTCTTTTTTTTCCCTCAGCTGCCCTTCTGACAAAATGCCTGCAGTCTTCTTCTTTCTTGATCTCCATCTTTCTTTTAGAGAGAGAGAGAAAAGAGACCATAGGAAGCAGAGGAGGAATTTTGTTTTCTGGGCAATATGGATGGGAAAGTAATGCTTTTATTTTTCAGAAATATGGCATTTTTTTTTAAAAAAAGATTAATTGTGGAATTGCTTATCAAATAAACCATGGCCCCTTTATTTAAGTATTTTAAGGCAGAACCTCCCCAGTCTGCTGCTCTCCAGGTGGGTAATTGGGGTCACAGCTCCCAGAATTTCCAGTCATTTGGATCAGGAGCAAAACCAAGGGAAATCTGATTTAATTACAGTAGTTTCATTTTTGGAGTTAAATGTCGCAAGCCTGAAATAATGTAACTATCTTTCAAACGATTTAAACTGGAGGTACAGGCCTTATATTTGTGGCTTTCTGCCTAGGTTGTAGTTTACTGTACCAGTGATCTTGGTAACTTTTCATGGCTTTTTTTCTTTTGGCTTATGAAACTAGTAAAATATTTTTTCTATGCAACCCTGTAAAACTAAGATGAAGGCAATTTGTTATGAAGCACCTATCACCCAAGAAGATCTATTTGGTGTGATCATCATTTCTAGATGTCATCTGTGGATTAGGGGCCAGGCTCAAAAGCAAACTAGTCTCTAAAGCAGTGTTTCTCAACCTTGACAATTTTAAGGCATGTGGACTTCAATTCCCAGAATTCCACAGCCAGCAATGCTGGCTGTGGAATTCTGGGAGTTGAAATCCACATGCCTTAAAATTGTCAAGGTTGAGAAACACTGCTCTAAAGAATGCCACCTAATACGACTGCTATTGACTCAGAAGCAGACAAGGGGGGAAACCATAAAAGATAGACTCTTTTTTTTAGGATTGCCGTCAGGTTACTTTTAGGATAGAGCTAGAGTCAGTCCCTTTGTCAGCTATAACTCTTTCTCATAGTATCTACTTGATAGAGGAGAGTGGCTATAATTAGATGGCAATGTGATAACTGCACAAGATACAAGAAATCGGCATGAGAGAGAGAGAGAGATTTGTAGAGTGATATGATGTGTAATAATGTGCTGAAAGCATTTGTAGTACCAAAACCTTCATAAACTTCACCTTCTTGCTGATAATATGCTCCTGATGATTCAGCATTTCTTTTTCCATGATTTGGAGTCGGCTAAAAAAAAATAAAATTGCGGTCGCCTGCATATAAAGACTGCTCCTATGTCTATTAACTGAGATGACAAATTCAATTTAGTTTTGGACTTTCTATTAATTGTGCACTGAATTCCCCCCTCAAGCTTCTTGCATTTTGGAGGGTCTTAAGCACAAATCTGTGAAGAATAGCACTACACTCTGGGGGAGAAGGACATTTGCCCTGAATGAAATTCTGCCTGTTCCTTTCATCCTTCACTATTTGCCCTGGGCCAGTACAGATAAAGGGGCTTTTCTAGCTTCTGCATTTCACCAGTACCTTTTCTTTTGCTGTAACCTCAATGAGGAAGTTTCCTTGAAGTGTTTAACACCTGTGGCTTTAAAAAAGAAGCATGCAGAAGTTGAGGGAGGGGTCATATTTCAATGGCTCAGGTTTGAATTTCTCCAGTTGAAAAGGCTAAGTAGTTAATGGGCTCCTGCAAATGAGAATTAGATCAGCCTTTATAAATCAGATCATCAGCAACTCTGCTCATTCAATACTGCAGGGGTGGGGAACTTTGGCCCTTTTATGACTTATGGATTTCAACTCCCAGAATTCCTAAGCTAGCCATGTTTCTAGGAGTTGAAATCCACAAGTCATAAAAGAACCAAGGTTCCCCAATCCTGCTATACTGGCTGGGAATATGAGGAATTATATAGCAAATTCAACTGGAAGGCTTCCAATTGGAATTGGCAATACTGGGCTTGATAGCTCAAAGGCCTGGCATGATGGCTGTATTCACAAGAAACACTAAGGCAATCATATGCCAATCTTGTGTGAGCCCATCTATTTATTTAGATAACAATTCACATAATGTGCATCCATCCATAAAATTGGGTTAAATAAATGTACTTTGTGAACACCAAGTTCTGAATGATATTCTGATGATGAAGTCTCACTACCTAACATTGGTGTTGTCCCTTTTGACTTTACACCAACAGCTCATACACTCAGCAATTAGCTATCTTTGTCTAGGTAGGAGATGATCCTTGGGCATCACTGGTAAATTCTTGATTGGGCCAAATCTTTTTTGCCTTTTCACTCCCACCCCCCCAAGCTACATCATTGCCATGGAATTTTCCATTGGAGTGGTTTCCCTCAAGTATCAGTCATGGGTCCTATTTTGTTTACCTATTATACCCTTCTCTTGGGTTCCCCAATTCATGGTCAATATCATGCAAATATTATGCCTATCAAACTGTCTCACTAGGTTTTCATCCTGAATATTCTCCCATTGCCTAAAGTTGAAACAGAGTCTATTTTGTTTTGACCTACAATAGTTGTCTTTTCCATCCTTTACCATCTTCCTCATTTGATTCCAGAGCTTCAGATTACCTGTTTTCTCCACCTGAAACTTTGGAGTCTTGCTTGATAATAATTGACCCATTTAGTAATTGTATAGCATTAACAGAATATTTTCAAACTTGGGACCTATTTTATCAATGCTTAGAGAAAAGATTTAGGGATTAGGAATTTAATTTGTATTAGTGAATAAGATACTCAGACAACACGTTTTTGTTGAATAATTATTACTGAACTCTGTTAAAATAATAATAACAATAAAAAAAACTTTAAAAAATTATATAGCATATTTTTAGTTACTGGGCATTATTAGGCTGTTGGTGGCTTTATTGATGCTTGCTTCAGTTGCTTCATGCTTGGACTAATGCAGGGGTCTTCAAACTTGGCCCTTTTATGACTTGTGGACTTCAACTCCCAGAATTCCTCAGCCAACATGCCTGGCTGAGGAATTTTGGGAGTTGAAGTCCACAAGTCATAAAAGGGCCAAGTTTGAAGACCCCTGGACTAATGCAATAGGCTTCCAGCAAGTGCTCCCAATGCCTTTCCCTGTCATGTGCTCTTAGTCAAAACAGTAATTTTTGGATTGCTCTGGACCTCTTATGCTTTTCTCATATTTTGCTACACTATATGGCACTTTACTTGCTTCCTATTTGAACCAGACCTGAATTTTAAATACTAGTGTTTGGGGTGGGTTGTTTGTTTGTTTGGTGGGTTGTTGTTTTTTTTGAGCTTGCTGGTCTCAAGCCCTTCAGTATATGCTCTTATCCTATAATCCCAACCATCCTTTCTGTCCCTTTGTGCAAGTCTTTCTTTCTCTTTCACACTCCAATTTGTTATCTGGCATTCTGGGATAGGCCCATCATTCTAAAATCAGTTCCTGCTGTTCCTTCATACAGTATCTGTGAAAGTTTGCATGCTTTCAAAAAGGACTTAAGGGCCTTTTTGATTTGTGGGTTAATGTGGAGTTTACTTATTTGACCTTACTCTTCTGCAATTCCTAGAAATAAGTTAATATTGCAGTTCTTGCTGCCTTGTTCTGGTTATTGAGAAGTCATGGATGGATGGATGGATGGATGGATGGATGGATGGATGGATTGGTAGTAGGATAGTGTAAATATGTCTTGTTGTACAATACCAGGTGGCTGTTTAAATTCTAAATATTTCTTCAGTTGCTCATTGAGCATTTTTGTATTGGATGAAATGTTTATAATTACTGGATTTCCTTGATCGTGCCATGCCTTGGTACAAATGAATATGATTTATTATCATTATTATTACTACTACCACCATTCTCATGCACCATTCTCATGTTCATGTAGGAACAAAATGAGAACATCCTTTTAAAGCTAATTCCAATTATTGGTTAGAACATCTACAAATATTTCAGCTGAATCCCAAGGAGGATTATCTAGATATAAACTCCACAAATGCCATCCTACTGTATTTTTAATTAAGAGAGCTGAGGATGAATATCTTAGAACAGCTTTTCCAATCTGGTGCCTTCCCAAGATGATGCTAAAATCACTTTTGTAATTTCTTAGCAAAGGGCAAGCTGGATGTCTTACAAGATTTTTTTAAACTAATTTTACAGATAGACAGTTCACTAGAAACACATATAGCTCTTCCTTCCAATTCCTATCTAATAGCCATCACAGTACTGTCTAGACTACGGGCTGGTGGGAAATATCTTTGAAGTTACATTTTCCATTGGATCATCCTGTTTGCTCAAACCGTCCAAACAGATACATTCGTGCTCAATTTCACATGCCTTTTTGTGGCCTCAAGTCTGACATCACTTTTTTTAACCAGATTTTTAGAAAGGCCTCTGAACATGGACAACATGTATTCATTGCACAGGATTTAACAAAAGAGTGATTCTGCATACTTGGTCTTAGCATGCCTTTCACAACTATGTGGAAAGTTTATATGAATTGCACAGACCAGCTTTCATCCATCTGATAGCTTCTGAGTATCTTGGACAAAGCTATGATTATCTGAAATAAGCATGCCTGGACTTGATGTAAACTATAGAAACCACATCTCAAGTATGCCAGAGAAGGCTGGCATAAGCAGTCAGGTGACATTTTTTAAAAACTAAAGAATGGATGGGGAAGTGGCAACTTGCTTCCAGTTCCTTCCTGATTTTAATGAGTTTCCTTCGCTACCACCCAAGCAGACTATAAACATGCACTGGTAATCTCTCTGTCTCTGTTTCTTGTATATGTTCTCCTGAAGTTGCCTTCATCTCATTCCTACTCATACTTAAGAGAGATTAAAGTTGTCCTTACCTATATGCTTCATGATTCTATCTCTCTTATTTGACATAAAACCTGGGGAGGTATTTCTCAATCTTGGCAACTTAAAGATGTGTGGAGTTCGCAAAAGCTTCCAGCTAGCATGCTAGGAGCTGAAATCCACACTTCTTAAAGCCACACAAACTGTGTAGTACATGTTAGCCATTACTGAAAATATCTTGTTAGATCAATTGGTCCTCTTCATTACCTATGATTTAAAATGTTCAATTTCTGGATACCATTATAATACTGCCATGGAAATCATTTGACCAGGAACTTCATTCATAAGCAAAGCATCCCTCTAAATCTAATCTTGAAGCATATTTTAAAAAAAGAACTGCATTTATATTTCTTTTCCCCTTTTTTCCCCTCAGAGCTGTAGGTAAAACTTGTCTCCTGATCAGCTACACCACCAATGCATTTCCAGGAGAATATATTCCTACTGTGTGAGTATGGAAATTGTTTAGCTTGAGGTTGTTGGATTTGAAAGAATTAGATCTACTAATATTCCTGTTTGTCAAGGAAATGCAATTTTGCTGTGTAAATAATATCAGCAATAACATAAGATTAAGTTTCCAAGAATCAAGGGCATTCAGCATTGTAATATTCCTAGATGGGAATGTTAAGAAAAACAAATGAATTTGATTAAGAAATTATTTGTACCTATTCTGTCCATTTTGGGGATAAGATGACAGATCAGTCTAAATTAACCTGGTCCTCATCAAATTTCTTAGGATCACAACTTTCAGAAGAGGAGCTGTCACTGCCAATATATCTAGAAAGGGTGATAGCAAAGAGACATAGCTTCATTTGGGATTGCACCCTCAATAGTTTCTTTTTAATATAGAATTTGGCTCCCCATCTTATGAAAAGGATTGGTTTAGTGCCAATTTAATTATATATTATGGGGAACTATTGCTTAAGAAGGTAAAGAACTAAAATATGGTATACAAATATTATTCATCTGATTTGAAATGAGATTGTAAGCATCAGCAGTCACAAAACATCCATTTTCCTAAAGACAGCTTAGAGATGCTAGGTCTTATGGTTTTTCCCAGCTTTCTAGAAGGAGTGGGGGGTATAAAAAACCCAAGATGGCAACCACAAAAATACAATCTGAGCCATGCTCCTTATGTGCGATACACATAAAAAAGGAGCTCAACTTTGATTGCTAAATTGTGCCCACCATCTTGACTTCTTTTGACTTCTTCCCTGTAGACACCCTTACCTTTCAGATTGCTTACTAGCACTCCAGAATATCTTTGTGTTGCACCAAGAGTCCACACATAAAGAAATTACTGAGATCTAACCATTCTCTATTTTCATAGAATGGCTTTGGGACCTAATGCTACTCCAGAAAGTGCCAGTGGGATTTACAGAATCAAAACTTCCCATTTAATATTTACAAAATAAGGTCAAGTGACTCAAAGAGTCTGATGGTGCCACGAGAAATACCTGTTAGCATCCTGGAGAGAACCGTGCTTTTTCTCCTGTATCAGGATTTCGGTCTAGGAAAGAGTAAAATCCCTCTCCCTCTAATGTCACTATAAACCTTGATATCTGTTACAGCTTTGATAACTATTCTGCCAATGTGATGGTTGATAGCAAACCTGTAAACCTGGGATTATGGGATACAGCTGGCCAGGAAGATTATGACCGCTTGAGGCCTCTCTCCTATCCACAGACTGTGAGTCATGTATTTTCTCTGAAGCATTGTCTAATTGTTTAGGGCTATCAGATATGGACTACAAAAATCCAAAAGTTGAGACCACCAGTAGAAGCTGCAAAGAGCCATAGTTCTCCTTATTTAGTGGACAACCATATTTGTTTGTTTGATAGCCTTACTTATCTCTGAAAAGCTTTGTTCAATATTCCTTGTTAGCACACACATGGCAGCTTCTACCTAACCTTAGCTGATTACCCAAAATCAGCTATCCAGGATTAGCATTTTGATGAGATACCATCAAGAAATCATTAGACTGTAGACTACAGTGAAGATTTTTAAAAAGGCATTCTGAAAGAAATCAATGACAATGAGATAGATCCACATCATCACCAGGAGTCAATATTACATTAATGATGTATTATCATATCTGGGCCACCAAAATCCTAATTACATTGGATGGTGGTAGTACAAAATAGTAATGTGATGTAATAGTCATCACAGCCAAAAAAAAACCCATCCCAGAATGTTTAATAGTTTTACCTATCTGATCCAGGACTTTAGAGAGCCTTTCCTCTCACTTTTTAAAGAGGGAAATAAGATTCTTTAAGATTCCTGGATAAAATCCTCAAGCTTCTCTAGCTGATAGTAAGTACTGTACAATATAATATGATATATAACTCTCAGATGGAAAAGGCGATGATGACATGAAGAAAGCATCAAATCAAGATTATTCTGAGTTAATCTTGATTAGATAAACTAGCTAGTATTTTTCAGCCTGTAGACATAGCTGTGAACTTGTTAGGGGTTAGGCATGCCTCATCAAAAGATGGCTAAGATAATATGTTACTTTGTGTTTTTTTAGTATTGCAAATATTGAGTTATTCGTGGAAGAAGTAATTCTGTCATGTCTATATAATAGATCTAGGTTTTGTGTACTGTTCACACTGTTTCTTTGTTTCAAAAGTCCTTTGGTTTCAGTAAAGTATTTCCACAAGATTCAAAATTTCTTAGATGCATCTTTCAAACCAACCAAAATAACTGGGCTTTAGAAATATCCATTAACAATAACAATGGAGCCTACATAGTTGTTGTGAGAGTTGCAGAGATGTTCAGTAAAATGCTTTAAGCACCCGAGCAACAGTGTATATATATATTTGGTACAAAAATGATGACATTTTTTTCCTAGCTGCACCAAACACTCACATGATTTTTTCCCCATGTCTTTGAATTTTCTGCCTACAGGATGTGTTTCTCATCTGCTTCTCTCTGGTCAGCCCTGCATCTTACGAAAACGTTCGTGCTAAGGTGAGATCATCCGGGCTACCGTGTGCAGAGCAAGTGACACTAAGGAAGACTCAATCTTGGTATTGCAGCAGCATGAAAAATATACAGTACAGTGACAGTAAAATATTTGGATCCTTATGTAATGTATAAATTGGATTGATGTCAAAGACTTCATTGAACGTTTTGAATGAAGACACCTAACTTTTCCTATGACTATGTTAGATATTGTCTGGGAATTCTGGTGGTTGAAGTGCAATAAATCTGAAGGATGTATTGGATGAAGGTCCATTAGAAGTTGCATCCTACTCTACAAATAGGATTCAGCAACACTAGAACATAAGGCTAGGTAGACTGCCCAAAGTTCCAGTTTGTCTGGATCCTCCTTGAAAGTATTTAGGGATTAGATGAGCTCTTCATTGTGAATTTGTCTTTTTTATAATCAGAGCTGGGTTTGTTTTCTAATGCCATTACTTTTTCATTAAAAAAAATGTCTGGCTTTTTTAACCCCAGCTTTGTCTCCCAGAACTGCAATTATGAGATGGGCAGCTGTATAAATTGATCAAAAATACTTCAGTGGATGTAACCTAAAGTTACATTTGCTAAATGTTTATAACATTTATACCCCACCACAATCAGAATCAATTCCCTATGGTTCAGCAGCCTCATATTCATCTTGAGATCAACTGCTATTCCAAGATCTATTTCCTGGATTTATTAAAAACATTTATGCCCCACCCATTTATAGTCCTTATTTATAGTCCTTATCTAAGGACTATAAATAAGGACTGATTTATAGTCCTTATCTAAGAAGGTTGCATTGGTGCAAATGCCTGGTATTTCATTTACCAATCACTTGTCCTGCATCACTATGTGTTATTCAGTAAAATCTTGAACTTTCTTTTAGTGGTTCCCTGAAGTACGACATCACTGCCCTAGCACTCCGATGATCCTGGTGGGCACAAAGTTGGATCTCCGGGATGACAAGGATACTATTGAGAAGCTGAAGGAAAAGAAGCTGGCCCCTATTACATACCCACAAGGTCTTGCCCTAGCCAAAGAGATTGGTAAGTGTTGCTACGGGGAGGGGAAAAGTTTGCTAGTTTCATTTATGCCAATTCAGTTGTGGCTACCTATTTCTCTTGAGCCAATCAAATGCAAGAATATTCATTCTTTAGACGAGATTGTCACTTATCTTCTAGCTGTTCTTCTTTCCTTTGGCTTGTTTATTTTGCACTTTCTGCACTTTAGCCTTTAGTGACACTGTAGAAAGTAACTCTGGTGCAATGTGAGGAAACCTGTGGAGATATAAGAGCTAGAAAGCAGCTGAGAAATTAAGAAAGGCAAATGCATATAAATACTGAGCTCACAAACCCTTTTTTTCTTTTCTTTTGATATAACAGTGCACTTTCCCACTATTAACTTGAAGTCCTGTTCATCTCTCCTTGACTTGATAGAAAATATACAACTGTTAAAAATTAGCATTGCCATTCCAATCTCTATCCTGCCTGTTCCCATCTTTTATTTGTTTATTAGATCCCGAAGGTGACCTTTGATGGTACCTGTACAATGGTGTCTGTTTCTATGAAAGAGGGTTTGTCTTCTCTTCCTTAAAGGAGGCTATGATGAACCCTCTTAAGAATCCCAGAAGCATGGGACCATTTTCATCTAGCATTGAAGTAAAGATTACAATTTATTAAATCAACAGGATGATTTAGATAAGGAGAGCAATAATATTTGCTGCATGTTGGGCTAAAATAGCCACAATGCATGATAGATAAGGAAAGAAAGTCCTTCCAAGATAACTCTCACATTAGTTGCTCCAAAGCTCCAAAGAAATGTTAAGTTGAATATTTTGGTCTCCAAAAGAGGGATGCTCAAGTATTTTTGTTGTTGTTGTTCACATTTTAATGAGCCAACCAGTTCTGAACTGTTATGCAAATCAGAAAGCAGTTATCTCTGAAATTTCACACTTTTCCTAATTATGTGATCCAGTGCCGCTTCAGAAAATGCATGCATGAATGTGTATTTTGAGAATTTAGAAAGGAAAAAATGTGGAAGAAAGTCCACTAGGAAATGTGTATCAAAACCACATTTTTCTACATTTAAAAATACGATTATGTGGCCATGTATTTGAAAAACCATGGGCATAAAAAAAAACCCATTTGTTTATTTCTATGAATACACTAGAAAACCTATATGCATGTCTATCAAACCTTGGCAATAGAACTATGCTGGTTTGTGAGCACAGGTACAAATTATCTATGTATAAGGGTTAAGGTGGCATCCGGTTTCTTGCAGAGTTAAGATTAAGATTAGGGCTTTAACTCAAAATATCAGAATGGTGATATTTTCCCCCTCCTCTTCTCAGCTTTCTGTATCCGGAACTTGCCTTCTGTCGCTTGAAATAATGTTGAACCACAACTTCCTTTTCCTGTCCTGTATTCTGGGACACACCAGCAAAAGCTGAAAATCTGCTCTCTTTCTGAAGGATCTTTACCAGGGCATACAGTCATGTTTTCTGGAAAAATAATCTATCTTTCCCTTTTTATTATCTCCCAAGGCCTAAGTAGAAGGTGAGACATAGGCAGAGTGAGAAAAGGGAACGATACAGTATCTTAGATGGTATTTCTGGGGGGGGGGATCTGTTCTTTGGGACAGCAGTTCTCTCTTGCTCTCTTGGGTAACAGATGTCCTGATGGGTGGATTTAAGATTGGTACTCTTCAACAAACTAACAAAATTTGGCTTTTCCTATGATCTGCCCGATAATTTAGAATCTGTGTATGCAGTATCAGAAATAAAGTTTTTATTAATTGATGCTGCACAGCCATTACAGTATTTATTTTCTTATTTATTACATCAAAGACATCTAGTTTTATCACATCAAAATGCAAGCTGTAGAGAAACAGCAAGCAACATTTTTGTGCTCTTGTATTCCTTATGGATACCTGTAGCCATCTGATTGGCTAAGAGATAAAGCATCTGCTTAACATGCAGAATGTCCTTGTTTAGTGTTTGGTCTCACAATTAGTGATGATCAATATTTCAGCCTGAAACCCTGGGCAACCAATTATTGTCAGTGCAAACAATATTGAGGTAGTTTCTTGAATGGTTAGACCAGTGATGGCAAACCTTTTAGAGACTGAGTGTCCCAAAACCACCCCGCCGCCTGCCCCTACCCTGCCCCCGCCTACCCCTGCCCGCCCGCAGGGCCACCTACCATCTCTATGACCCACCACAGCAGTTCACCCAGGCAGGCCTGCAGCATCATGGCGGCCACACCCTCCACCTGCGCCCTGCAGCATCATCTGTGCGCGATGTCCCTGCTGCCTGGGTGCCATGTCCTTGGCTGTGCTGCTCCACGCACACCTGGGGGCAATTCTCCGGGGGGGCTGCTGGTGAGGAGGGGGCACACGTACCCACAGAGAGAGCTCTGAGTGCCGCCTTTGGCACGTGTGCCATAGGTTTGCCACCACTGGGTTAGACTCTACATAAGGCATCTTCCTGCGGCAAGGTTTTGGTCTGATTATGTTAGTCTTTTCTTATATTCTTACATTCCTAAGTAGTTCTGCTGCCCATAGAGATGCTGAACTTGATATTGGGACAAGTGAGGGAATTTTTTTTCATTTCTTCCTCAGACATTTTTTCTCTTTGCAGATGCAGTAAAGTACCTTGAATGTTCAGCACTCACCCAGCGTGGCCTGAAAACAGTGTTTGATGAGGCCATTCGAGCAGTTCTCTGTCCACAACCTACAAAGACAAAGAAAAGGAGGTGCAATATCCTTTAGGGGTAAGTATCAAAAACCTGCTTGTGGTTTCCATCCAGAATGGATCCATACCAGCGTGATTCCCTACCATGGGACTTTAAAATATTAGAAAGTTTATTATGTGCTACTGTTGTGATTTTAACAGGAAGTATACCGTATATTAAAAAAATCAGAATACTCATTGCACACATAATCCACACATCAGCTTTGCCACATGGAACTCTGCAGATGAGTTGCATTACAATTCATTGTGCTAGTCTTACCATCTTTGATCAAGGATTGTCAGTGAAGCAGTGGGTGGTAGTTGACAAACAGAGATGTATCACTGGGTACACACACCTTTTCAAAATTCTCTGTTCAATTTATTCACAGTAAAGTTGATTCAGAAGATTTTTCCAAACCTCTCCAGGGGAGAGGAAACAACTCTGTAAACATCCTCTTAGTAATGACAGTCACACTGCAATTGCAAAAGTCCCAGTGAAGAAATTGTCTTGTGACATATTTCCCCAGGATTTAAATGAAACATGGAATATCAGAGAAGCTGCAACCCATTGGAAAGATGTTTGTATAATAAACAACAAGATATTTATATATGGGCATGCATCCACATTGTCTACCCTTTCATTATATAAATGTAAAAATATTGTGGGAGATTATAGGTATATTTTATGTATAGTGGTTGGTCTAAGCTTTAATGAAATTTATGTTATATTGTGCCCACAAAAGTGTCTCTAAATTCTCTTCTTTGTTCAAAGTTTCCAAAGTCAGTACTTTTTTTTATTAAATCAAATGGAACCAATTGGAGAAAAAGTGCAGGAATATTTCTCTGGTTAGCAGTATGAAAGTGTGTAGAACAAAATGTTTTTGGCAAGAGCAGAATGTATATTTGTGCTTAAGAACAAGAATAGCAGAGAGTGTGGTATATGTAGGTAGTCTGGAGCACAACCCAACACACTGGCATTGGGGGAGGGGATAGATTGGAGCCTTTTCTCTTAGTTCACTCCTCTCATTGATCTATTTGATAGAAATATGAAGGAATTCTACAGCACACTAAAATTCTTCCCATGCTTACTTTTCATAATTGTTTTACCAAATGCCAATGCATCGGTAAAGGTCATGAGCACCAGCTCTATACAAGAAAAATGTTTTCATGCCAAATGTTTTCATGCATACAGCACTGGGTTTGGGATCCAGCTGTTCCAACTTTTCCATGGGTTTTCCCACTGACTCTCCCACCCTCAAATCCCACCCACCTTCTTCCCCTTGGCTAGTATTTTAAGGTGTTTTTTTTTTAGTATACTGCTACCTTATTGTATTGTTCTGGGATTTTTATATTAGCTATATCAAACCCTTAAAACTATTTTTGTACTTCTGCAAACCCTGAGATTTTTCCAAGCCTGATGACAACACTTGTCCTCTTCAGGCAAGTCTTTAGTAAACAGCAGGATATTCACTTCCCTATTCACCCTCAACAACTAATGAAGTCGCCCAAGTGGTTTTATGGGGCTCAAACTATAGAGGGTAAGGTTTCTCAGCAACAATACCACAACTTTGTGATTCAATTGTATAAAAAGCCAGTCCTTGCTGGGTTTCTGGGTTGGTAAATTTTTGCCAAAGGAAGAGGGTTCATCTTTGCACTTTTTTTTTTCAAAACAACAGACCAGTTCCATGATCCAACTGGGCTGTGGAAGTGAGCCTAAGTCTGCCAGTTTCTCTCCTGCCCTAAAGGAAATTTGGATTTTAATGGCTGCCTGCAACTATTTACTGCTTCATAAAGGGTGGAGAATGCAATTCTTTACAGTACTTTTCCCCAAATTGTTTAATCCACCCCCAATGCCCTATCCATCATAACCTTAGCTAAGAACTCTAGGTGTTGAAGTCCACATATGTGAAGGAGCCCTGGGGTGCAGAAGATTGTCATGTAGCTAACAGACTAGAGTAACACAATTTCTCTCCCTCCCTCTCTCTTTTTGTCTCTCTGACATAGAATCTGGATTCTGGCCCTTCAGCCCACAGACCTTTGAAGAGGGGATGAAGAAAGAGAACTTTAGAGGCTGCTGGATTTTTAATCTTGTTTCACTATGAATAGCCCAGTGCTTCCACAACTAGCTATTTGTTTAAAAAATCTGAATGTATGCATTACTTTATTCTTAATAAGGTGCATTACAGTATAAATTCCTTTCTCTCTCTCTCTCTTTCTCTAGACCTAATTTGTGGCTACTGCTTAAAAAAATAAAATGCAGTCATGGCAATATATTCATTAGTAACAGGGAACATACTATGAAAACTTTTCAAAAGGGCTTTGTTTTGCGCATATATTCTTTGCAGGTTCAAACAGTTAATGTCTCCAGTTGATCTGGGCTAGTGGTTTTTTAATCAATAATTTTCATTTTCCTCCTGAATACATTTCCTAAATTTCCCCAGTGCTAGTATGGATGTGTGTATGGGGAGTACATTTTAACTATTGATTTTCTCCTCTTTTTTGTTCTTTTTTTTTTCTTTTTTCTTTTGACTGGTAAACTAGTGCTATAAATGAACTCTTCCCGTATTATACAAAGCAAAGAAATATGTATAATGTCAGGAAATGTTTTAGTTCCCAATGAGAAATCAAAATGGTAATTGAAGGCTTATACTCAGTATTATCCCCATGCTTTATTAACATGTATAAGCCACAAAAGACATTGCTTCTGAATAAGTGCTTTGGAATATTGGAAAAGACTTTGCTAAGTAAAGTGCCAGGTAATACAGTAATGTATAATGTGCTGTATGATCCTTCATGTTTTAAAAAATATTCTTGTACTAAAAAAAATGATGCTTCCTCAGTACTAAAGAGCTTTAGCATGGGAGCACCCTTATTTAAGTTATTCTCCTTCATTACCTACCTGCTCCTATTACTGATCACTGCATTCTAAATGAGACTCAATTAAAATATAATCATAAACCATCTATTCCTATTACCCATAACTTGTATGGGTGCTAATACAGATACACATTTTCAGAGATAGGTTGCTGAGATGCTAGCTGTTCTGCTACTTATTGACCAATCTATCTCATTTGGCAATATTATGAGCACACAACTGATGAAGTTTATTCCTCATAAATACTAAATGAGAATTTAGACTGGATGTCATTACTGAGAAGTAATGTGCCCTTGGTAGATATTATGTTGATTAGACGGCATGATCTCAGTTTTTAGTGCATAAGATGTCATAGTCACAGGTCCATAATTTCATTATTGGGTTTCCCATTCTGTAATGTTCCTGTAGCCCTTTTGAGAGGTAACCTGGACATTTAATTGTTTTGGTGCTACATTTTGTTTTACCAGTAGATCTTCTGGTAGGGCTGGTTGTTTGCCTTTTACTTACTTGCCCAGTGTCTGTTACCCTCAACCCAAACACTCCAAATTGCTTCACTGTCTTCTGTCTTACAGGAAGCTTTTTAATGAGGCTCTGAGCTAAGCCAGGGTGCTTACATGCTGGTAGTGTTACATCAATACTAATTTAGAATTGCAAATATTTGTTCATGGCAGACGTTGCGTGGCAGAAACAATGTGACTCTTGACAATATATAATTACATGGCAACCTACTAGATGCGCAAGAACCACGTGAACATGCCAAAATGAGTGATGTGATTAAGCCTACATTGGATATATCTTTGTGGATTAACAAATGGATACAGCTCCATACTGTGAAGGTATAGGTTGGCTGGGTTTTCATCTGTGCCAAAGATCTTGCCATTTTTTCACAATTGCCTTTTAAGGAAGAGTCCAGTTCATTGAAAACATTTACTAAAGATACGAAAGATATCTCTTCTAATTCTGGACCATCACGCTGGTCAAATCTGATTGGGATGACTTTGGATCAATAGGGACTGCATTGCTTTTTTTCTAAAATCTCAAAATCGTCCAACTGGAACCAGCTATGAAAGATGATGTATTAGAGCCTGCTGGCTAGGGAATTCTGGGGAATTGAGATCCACTCATTTTAAGTTGCCATGGTTGCAAAATGCTGGCTTAGAGGACAGACAATTACCTGCTATAAACTATGAGCTATACACTTGTATTATTGGCATATTCAAGCACAAATCAACAACTGTCTAATTACAGTCTGAATGAGGAGGTGGAAAAAATTGCTGCTATTGTTAAATGATTCTTAAACAATTAGGAATTTCAAGCCATCCAGTGAGCTACTAGCAAATCCTAATTTAACTTTACTTTACCCCTGATACTAAGAAATGCATTTCAGCCATTCTAAATAGTATTTAAGAACTATAAATCTGTCTTTCTGACATAAAACATATCAGGAACAAAATTAGGCTCACTGAGAAGCCTCTGGTCTCAACTTCCTTATTCACAGTAAGAATTCCTGACCTGCTTACACTGTGCGTGACAAATAAATGGCATGTATGTGTGAGTGGGATGGTTGGTAAGAATCATTTCTGCAGGAAGGCAACCTTATTCTTTGTTTCTTATATGCCAGGCTGTTTTGTATCAGTGCACCCGCAGCTTTTTCCTATCCACAGAATGGTGCCAATGAGCATAAATGACTATATGTTATAAAAGCCAGTGGTTTTGGCAATCAGAAAGTCTGCATTATTAGGGACTTTCTTAATTTAGAGTGAGGCCCATGCCTTTGTGGCACTTTCCTCCTGCTGGAGTGCTTCTGGGCACCTACAAAGAATGGCGCAGATCTCTGCTGCTATTCCAATCTCTCTGCTTGCACTAATCTGCAGGCAAGAAGCAGAGACAGAAACTGAATGCTGGAAGGAGCAAGGAGGCAATAGAATGAGTCACCGATCAAGACTAATAGCCTACGGGTTGCTAAAATAAAACTGATGACAGCTATCCTTATGTAGAATCGGCAGCTGTGGGCACCTGTGTTACTGGATGATGCTAAGGATCAGTAAAGGGGCATGGCTTTAAATGATCAGTAGATATATTCTTGAACAACTTCCCAAAGGTGCCATTTTCTCATAGTTTTGTTGCTACACATTTTATTAGCTGAAACAAAGTTCAGAGCAACAGATACAATCAAGAAGACCCTCACCCAGATAAACGAACACAGAGGAATGGAAGAATCCCCTTCTTACTCACAAAAAACATAGCAGAAAATTATACCTATAAGGCATTTCATAGATTAACTGCTGCAATTCACTTAATGTCAATTCTTCTTCAGTACCAGTTGGATGTGATGCCTAGTCTACTGTGCCAAATAAAATGTTTCATATGGCTATGTTCTTTTTTCATGTGAATTAGATGAGATATTTACTGTAATTCAGTGGTCAATTACAGGTTTGCATGCAAAAAATCACTGGTGTTCACTTGTCAAATTATATGTTTTGCATGCAAAAAAATCACCCCAGGATCTCCAGCAAAAGATGGGAATGCCCCCTGCCTGAAAATTTGGAGACTGCTGCACAGATGGGACCCATACTATATCCTCTTCTTGAAAAGCTGGATATAAACCAAATATTCCCAAAACATAATAATGTTGGATTCAGACATCATGTCAGCTATGCATTACATAACTTCAATTTTATAAAGAAGACAATTAGCTTATGCTCCAAGGAGCATTCTCATCCTGTACCATTGTTAAGAGTTTATCCTTGAGAGAACTTGATGAAGAAAAGGAAAAGAGAAGACATTAGGTACGCAGCCCCTTCTCTCCAAGACCTCCTGCCAGATTGGGCCGAAGGCTCCCACCTGTGTTTGATGGGGAGTTATGAGTTGTTCTATTCCCCTTCCTTTACTCACAACTGGGATCTGGGTTATAAAGATGATGAAATGCTTTTATGTGGATTCAAACAAAGGTAACTAAAAGACCCTATAGATCTCTCTCATCTCAGTAAATGGGACTCAAGAATGCTGGAGAGACAACTGGACAAAATCACTGTATGCTTTGGAATTTCCAAGGTCTTTTCATGTGGTAAAACAGTTAAAAAGAAAAAATATATATATTATTAAGGCATACAATTTTAGATGGTTTGGGGGAATAGACTCTGGTTGTAGAGATTTCACATATGCTTCTCTCAAGATTTATAGAGGGAAATGACCACATAATTGTTTTTCCCAGCATACACCATTTTAGGATATGCAGCTCTTGTATTCAAAATTATTTGCATTCTTTTTTAAATATCTATCTATCTATCATCTATCTCTATCTATCTATCTATCTATCTATCTATCTATCTATCATCTATCTATCTATCTATCTATCTATCTATCTATCTATCTATCTATATCTATATCTATATCTATATCTATATCTATATCTATATCTATATCTATATCTAATCTATATATCTATATCTATATCTATCTATCTATCTATCTATCTATATCTATATCTAATCTATATATCTATATCTATATCTATCTATCTATCTATCTATCTATCTATCTATCTACTGTATCTATATCTATATCAATCTCTCTCTCTCTCTCTCTCTCTATCTATCTATCTATCTATCTATCTATCTATCTATATATATATATATATATATATATATATATATATATATATATATATATATATGTTGCTACATGTAAAGTACAATACTGTTCAGAAGAAAATGAAAAGACAGCTCTAACAGTTTCCTTTTTCTTCATATTCTATCTTTAAATGGAGCAGACAACAACATAATCTCAAATTTATTAAAATAGGAGACAGAGTAGTGGCAAGGTATAGCTATCAAAACATTAATGCTATCTTAATGGACACCAGAAACAATACAAAGTTAAGCTCTGTTCCACATTCATGTGGAATAGTTTCTACAGTTGCTCCTCTGAACCTTGTGGCTTAGTCAGGAATGCAGACTACAGTATAATCACAGAAAACAAACTCCCTTGAGCAAAGCAGAAAAAGGTGGGCTGTAAGCAGGAGATGAAGGACAAATCCAGGAGCTGGAAAGAAACAAAGACAGATAGGCAGAAGCAAAAAAAGGTGGGTGTTGTTGATCCCTAGATAAATGCCAAAGCAGATTCTCTGAAAACACACATTCACACGCACACACAAATCATGTAGAGACAGAAGAAAATAGCTGACATGTTCTGTTCTTTTTTAATGGCACATTTTGGTTGCTCTGGTTTTATAGGAAATCCTTCACTTAAATAATAATATATTTAATAATGCATTTACTTATTTCAAAGGTGGAACAGACAATAAATATTCTATGCACCCCTTCACATTCTCCCCTTCTGTGCTTTACAAATATCATTTCCTTGATATTTTGGGGCAAGGGGAATCATATTAAATTTCTTGGTAAAGATGATTCTTTAAAGAAGTGAACATGCCTAGAATTTCATATTTAAGGATTATATCATTATCATAACAGCAGCCTATTGAAAATCTCCCCTCTATATATTCATGAGGATTACATCCTACAGTAAAATGGATTGGGAGTAGAGGAGCATTATCTATTATCAAATGATTAGGATAGGGCTATATTTTAGTTTTCTAAAAATAAGTTGCAATTCTTCCACATCTTTGTCTCCCCTACCTCTGAAATTAGAAGTAATCAGGACAAAACTGCATACCTAGGGACTCTTATACTGTTATAAAGACAATGTCTCCAAATCAAGCTAAACTTCATGCTGTTTTCTGGTCAGAGAAAAGAAGTAATTTAAGTTGCCATTGGCATCTTTCCAACCTAGCCTATGACTCCATATTCTCTAGTAATCTCCCAACCAAGTATTAATGAGGTCTGACACATTTTCTGTACCAAAGGCCGCCAGATGTTGCTACCTAATGAA